CCTCCTCTCCCTCTCCCTCTCCCTCCCCTCCCCAAAGGTAAGCCCTTTAGCAATTGCATTCCTCAAAGTTTAATTTGGAAATGTCAAGTCCTGTATAGTAATTATATAATATAATATTTATTTTCTATTTGCCAATTGATTTTCGGGTTCGATGCTGGCGTTTGAATTTCAAATTTTTTAAATTTTTGAACAGGTACTCTAATCAACTGCGGCGCCGCCGTCAAATCCAAAATCGATGGCCGCGAATGGCTACCAGATACCGACTTTGTATCCGGTGGGACCTCGCTGAACTTAACGACCCCGAGCCTCGTCCCCATCCTCTCCACCGCCCGATTGTTCCTGAACTATCCCTACCGTAAGTTCTGCTACACCGTCCAGGTCTACCGCAATGCAAAGTACATGGTCCGAACCACCTACTACTACAACAGCAGCGACTCGCCGTCAGTGTTCGACCAGATTGTGGACGGCACTTTCTGGGCCGTCATTAACACGACCGAGAACTACTCTAACAACATGTCGTCATACTACGAGGGGTCTTTCTCGTCCAGGGCAAGACCATGAACGTGTGCCTCGGGTAGAACAATTACACCGAATCCGACCCGTTTATATCCGCCCTAGAGTTTGTGATACTCGAAGACTCGCTTTACAACTCCACCAACTTTAAGTCGTACGGCCTTAGCTTGGTCGCCCGAAATGGATTTGGGTACACCGGACCCATCATTCGGTACGTGCCCTTCTCTTTGTTTTAACTTGTAGAATCCGTAAATTCAGTGACTTTGAAGTCAAAATTTGAGTTTGTTTAGAATCCAAAATTGGGTTATCATTGTAGATGCAAATTTTCGCCTTCTTCAGTCTTGACAAAAATGCATCTGCAAACCAATCTACACTTTTGATCAAAGACCTAAGCCTCACGCACGCATGAGATAGGGGGTTAGGTCAGCGGATCTCCGATGCCCTCACGCGCCCACGAGGGGGGGTTAGGTCAACGGATCTCTAATGCCTAAGTTAGTTTCTCTGAGAGAGTAAAGTGTTTAAAGTTTTTTAGGGTTGCAAAAGCTCTAATGGTAGAATACCGGGTTTTTATAGGGCTAGGGTCAGCCATATAGTGTTTAATGGAGAGATATTCTCTAAATATTCCCAATATATTAAATAGGAAATAATATCTTGAGATAATGGTGTGATTATTCGTAATTTATTTAAATTATGACTACTTAGTTGATTTGAGTCAATCTTAAATTAGGAATGTATTAAAGATAAGATTTGGGTAATTAATCAGACCTTCAAGGGTGTGAGCTGCGCGTAGGAGCATCTGGAAATCCTGCCCATTTATTGAGCGCAATCTTGTCTTTAGGGCAATCTTGTCTTTTTGAATAAAAGTTTACATGTCGCCTCTAGAATATTTGGAGTTATTTTAGGCTCCACAGTCATCAGATAACAGATTAGGAATTCGATCAGCTTTGGATGCCATTTGGAGGGCACAATCCGATGAATGATTTTTTACCACCCCAATGATTGCAAGTTTAAATTTCGAATTTTGTGTAGTTTATAGATTAATTGGCTTTCATCTAACGACAATCAATGCGATGATAAGCAAAAATGCACCATTATCTTTTGTTTACGTTCAAAATTTTGTGTATTCAGTGACTTTGAGGTCAAATTTGTAAAGATTTTAGAAACTGGAATTCGGTTATTTTTAGATACCCTGATGACCAATTTGATCGTTTTTGGGCGCCATTTGAAGAGCATAATCCGCTGATTCCGATCAATGTGAGCAACTCAAATGCGTCTGTTTCTGGCATGTGGAATATGCCCCCTTCGAAAGTTTTTAAAAGCGAATTGACGACAAGGCAAGCTGAGGCCATGGAGTTGGATTGGCCTCCTGGGTCGGTTCCTGAATCGAATTATTACATAGCTCTATACTTTGCATCAGGGGATTCCTCGGGTTCAAGGGTGATCAACATTAGCATCAATGGTGTACTGTATTACAAGGATTTGGATGTGAAGCCAGGAGGGCTTGTTGTATATGCGACGCAGTGGCCACTTTTTGGTTTTACTAGGATTACTATGACCCTTTTTGGGAGGTTAAGCGGTGGTGCTCTGATTAATGCTGACGGGTTGTTTGATGTTCTGCCCCTTGGAGGAACAACTCTTACTCGAGATGGTATGCTTATCTTTTGATGTTATTGGGATTATATTTTAGTTTTGAACTAACCCATGTTAGAAATTTGTACATAAGCCCACTCAAATTGCAAAGTTTAGATGCCATTTGTACATAGGCTTGATGCAAGACTTGATGGTGTTCATTTTAGTGATATCAATTCTGAATTTGTAATGGGAGTGGCCATTTTCTTTTCACAGTTATTGCTTTGCAAAGAGTAAAACAAAGTCTTCAGAACCCTCTACCTGACTAGAGTGGTGATCCTTGTTTGCCCCGTTAGTACTCGTGGACAGGCATTACATGCTCTCCAGGCCCTCGGGTTCGAGTGGTCTCTTTGTGAGTTGAAATTGTCGTAATCATTAGAAGTCTGCTTCCCTTTCTTTTTTTCATCTCAACATGGCCAAAACTTACATCTATTTCCTCATGCTTTCAGAAATCTGACGAGTATGGGCATTTCAGGATCGCTATCACCTAGCATTGCCAATATGACCGCATTGTCTAATATGTAGATTTCTGAAAATTTAATTGTATTTAGTTTGTTCACAAGTGTTTGTTGAATGCCTGATTGACGATTTAGCACTTCTGATAGCTTGCTTGGGAAGAATAAATTTACAGGGCCTATTCCCGATCTAAGTTCATTGAAGTTACTGGAGAAACTGTAAGTTGTGACAATTTACTTCCCATGTTTTGCCTCTGCCTCTTGATCATTTTATTTTTAAACTTGCAATGAAACACATTGTGGCATATGGAAGCATTGGCCACTATAAATGGAATTCTGGAAGTCAATGGCCTGAAACTGTACTGGTGTGATTAAGTGATTAATTATCTATTTTAGCGGTTTTGTGATACTTTCACATTGCATTGATTGTCTCATCTGAAAATTCTGAGTCTCCTTGTTGCATGAAATGGCTTTCTCTAATCCAATTTTTCTTTTTCCCTCATTTAAGGCACTTGGAAGATAATCATTTTAGTGGAAATATCCCTTCATCGCTCAGGAGCATTGATAGCTTGCATGAACTGTAAGTGATGTCAAACAGTCAAAGCCGGTTCTTTGTTCTTTCTTGGTATCAATTTGAGATTTTTACTCACAGTTTCTAAAATGTCTATTTGTATAGAAAATGGATAAGAAGAATTTGGTTCTCAAACAATTTTATGTTCTATACTGTTTAATTGTGGAAATGTTAGCATTTTAATTTATTTGTCGAAAAAAGTTAATTGTCACTGATTTGTGAACTTTATGGATTAGAGTTCAAGTTATGGTATAACCCCAGTATTGATACCTCTCGATTCTCTTGTTGTTGGAAACACCTACTTTTTAAAGCATTTGAATCTGAATGGTTGCTACAAAAATTTGCACGTTCAGGGTGCTGTATATTACAGACGAATACTTAAGGGCGTCCACATGTTCTGTCTGTTTTGTTGGTCAGAAGCAAATACCATTAGAAGTCTATCATGGTCTAAACCTTGTGATTCGACAAAGGATTCTCACCAATTTCAGAAATATATGCACGCACGGCACATTGATCTCAGTATATAAGACTAATATGTTATGAACTTATGCGGGCATATTGTTATGGTTTCAGATGTAGATATTTATCTGACTGATACCTTGTTTTCAATTCTTATGGAAGATATTCTACATCTTTTTTTTTCTTCTTGTGGATAATTCAGGTTTTATGCCGATTTTAAGCTCACAATGCTGTTAGATGACAGCACAACTGGGCAAACTATCTTTTTTTTTTCCCTTTCTTTCGTCTTGCACATGCGTTGATTCTGCCGTGAGACTTGATGTTTCCAAGTCCTAACTTGCTTCCACGTCTCTTTCAGTTTCTTACAAAACAATAATTTGACTGGTGAAGTTCCTGATAGCCTTGTTGGAAAATCTGGTATGGACCTAAGGTAGTTGAAATTTCACTGGTCTTACCACTCAAACCTTACGTTGCACCTTAAGCTGATTGTTTTTCCTTGCGTTTCAGGACGTCTGGAAATTCTTTTTCAGCGCCGCCGCCTACTTGAACAGCTAGTATTATGCATTCAAAGGTAAATATTTTTTCCAAGAAACTTGATCCAAACTCTAAACATAAAGAGCTCTCCAAAATTTGGACTGCAAATTTTCCCTTTGCCAGCTCTTTGGATCTGTAGTCCAAAGCTCTCGTGCCTATGTTTCTTTAGCTTTGGTGGAGTTTGAGATCTTCAGTGAAATTTTACCCTACATTTTTGTACCCGATTGTTCATATACAGCCACGTTGATTTGTCGTGTTCTTTATGTAATTAGTCGATGTTGTTAAGTTGTCCATATTAATTTTTCTTGTTCTTTAATACACATTTTCCTTTATCTACACAGTGTATTGTTTGTAAATCTTATTTGAAGTGATTGGTGTTGATCTGTTTTTACTTAGGTCTATGGTTGACATTCTACCTCAATTTCTTCTTATGGTTCTAGTCAAATGTCCCTATTACATTTACAGATGTGCGCGTTAGGCCAATTGGCAATATGTCCATCTCCTGCACCTAAGTTTGAATCTCCCTCCCCGTAAATTAAAATCAGAATTTGAATCCCTATTACATTCAAACCATGTTCAAAGAGAATCCTACCAATGTGGTCCTCTTCCGTTTCTTCATATGCTAAAAATAATTCAAATATTCATTGGTGGTTAAGGCCAAAAATCAGATTCCAAGTGCTGCAATGGCTCACATGTTGGACCGACTGAGTCACAGATGTGCAATGTCTTCTCCCTTTCCTACCCACTTATTTGGGAGAGCCAGTTGGCAGATAATGTATGTACTTTTTGGACAATACATTAAGGCAAATAAATAAATAAATCAGACAAATTTTGGTTAATATTGTGGCAAAATACTAGAAAAGTTAGCATTTACATTATGATTCTTCAAATCCAACATAAGTAACACTCTGAACATGAGACATAAATTTTAAATGAAATAAAAAAAAATATTGCGAAAATTGCGAACATCTTGGACGAGGATTTTCTAGTATGCACCGGGATCCTTGGTTGTTGGATTCTTAGCTGGTGCATGTTGTACAGTACTAGAGCATGGTAAAATTCTCGTATTGGACAATTAATCCTGCAGATCAGACCAACATCTCTACCTCCCTAGCACTCTTCCTTTTCTGAGAGGAAACAAAGGTGGCAAGGCATTACTCTTCACTTGTGTGCAAATTGGCACATTTACCATTGGCCTTATTCTTATGCTTGCTGATCTTGTTCTTTCCAACCCTTTTTTTATCTTCTTCATATACTTCTCTTTGTTCCCTTCCTTCTCTTGATCCGTCCTCGTAGCTACATCCGCCAACGAGTTCAAGGAAGAAGAGGAAGACGAGGATGAGGAAGACGGGGACAATGATGAAGCGCGTTGTTTCTTCAGTCTTAGTAGCTCATTCCACAAAATTGTGCACTTAGGTGGCCTCGGAGATGGATCATCGTCCACAAACCAACTCCCTCGGCTCTCCTTCTTGTTCACCACCTCCTCATTCTCATCTCCCTCAACATCATTGGTCTTGAGGTTGAGCTTCGCGAGCTGTTCGGCGTGCTGCTTTTGCCAAAAGGGTAGGAGCTTCCCATCGAAAAATAGCTCATCTGCAGACAACATGGCATGGCTGCTCGCATTGCTCGAGAGAAACTCAAAATTCGGGTTACATACCTTTTGGTGATCACCACACTCCATTTTTTTATCTTGTACTTCGCCGTACGAATTCGGGGTGATGGAGATGAAGTTCTCATCGTCGAGAAACTCGACCGAGAATGAAATCCACGAACTCAAAATCGAATCGGAAGATATAGGGCTTGCCAGAACAATTTCTAGGGACCCCATTTTTGTGGTAGTGAAAGAGTGTTTTTTGAGCAAATGCATAAGGGTATGTAATATATAAAGGGAAGGAAGAGATGCTTTATTAATGTTAATGTTTAAGTAAATTGTTTTTTTTTTTTTTACCAAAGATAGAAATATATTAAAGACGAATAGAAAGGTTTACATCCTTAGCAAGAATATTAAATAGAAATTCAGGGCCAATACAATCCCAAGAAAAAGATCGGCCTTCCTTAAAGGCATACTTAGCCACCGAGTGAGCAGCACGATTACCCTCTCTAGGCACAAAAGCAAAAGAGACAGTCCTCAGCTTATGCACTAGAACCTCAATGTCACCAAGAATACACTCAATACTAAAATCTACCAACACTTCCTTCTTCAGCATTTTAATAACCAAACTTGCATCAGATTCAATGATGATGTCATTAAACCCATGTTCGATACAGGCTAATAGAGCATACCTGATGGCAGAAGCTTCAGCAGCCGCGACACTAGGACAGAAACCAGAGCCTATCCCCCCAGCTGCTTGGAGCAGTCCCGCAAAATCCCGACCCAGCCAACCCAAACCCATATGCATCGTGTCTTTACACCAGGCCGCGTCGGAATTAATCTTAATAGTTCCGAACCTAGGTTTCTGCCACTTAGTACAAAGAGATTCTGAAGCCTTAATTGCCTTCGGCAGCCTCGGTCTGTTGTCTTCTTCTTCCCGCGCCAAACAGTCTTTGTACTCGCTAGTACTCTTCCTCCAGGCCTCCAAGATATCCAAAGGCTGGCGATATATCCCTTTGAATATCACATCGTTTCTGTTCTTCCACAATCTCCACAGGCCAAAGGCAAATTCTTGACGGATGTCATCCGCATTGTTCCTATCCTTCACTTGAGCATAAAAGTTGCTCCAGCTTTTGAGAAAGTCACTTCCCTCCAGGGCGTGAGAATTGAGGTGCAGAGGAGAACAAAACCAGAAGACATGGCTAAATTCACAACGGAAAAACAGATGGTTTTCAGTTTCATTAATGGCGTTACAAACACCACAAACATTGTCAATTCTCATATGACGTCTTTTAAGATTCCGTCTAACCGCCAGAGCATTGTTGCAGCATCACCAAATAAAGCATTTGATCTTATTTGGAACCTGCAGACTCCAGATATTATTCCATACCAGATTTAAATTGTTACTTTCACTAGGGGCACCGCGCCCTTTCCTTCCCAAAGCACCTTCTTCCATCAGTTTTAAAGCCAAACTGTACCCAGTTTTAACTGAAAAAATCCCATTGGTAGTGTAGTGCCACACCAGTCTATCATCTATGCCAGCGTGGCTGAGTGGAATGCTTAAGATCGGTAATACATCTTCCCGCTGAAACCCGAGCTCGATCAAGTCCGTTCGCCAAGAGTTAGTAACAGGGTCGATCAGATCACATACCATTGTTCCTTCCAGAATTGGTTTCGGGATGAGTTTATAGGTTGAGGGTGTAGGGAGCCACGGATCCTTCCTAATGTTTATGCTTTTCCCATTTCCCACCCGCCATCTAAGACCAAGTTTAAGCACTTTCCGAGCTTCAAAGAGGCCTTTCCAGCCCCATGAGGTATTCTTCCCTTTCAGAGCTTCACCAAAACTTTTCCCCGGGAAGTATTTATCCCTCAAAACCGAAGCTAGGAGGGACAAAGGGTTTTGGGTGATTCGCCATCCGATCTTGGCAAGAAGAGCAAGGTTGACACATTGGATATCCTTGAATCCCATTCCACCAGCCTTTTTCTGTTTCATGAGACGATCCCAGGAGACCCAGTGAATGCCCTTACGTTGTTCATTACCACGCCACCGGTAATTTCGAATAGCTCTTTCAACATCCCGACACACTCCAATGGGGAGTCTAAAACAACTCATAGCGTAGTTAGGCAAGGCCATAGCAACTGATTTCACAAGGATCTCCTTTCCCGCCTGGGACAGGTACTGTTCAGCCCAACCAGACATACGAGCTTCAATCTTATCCCGGATTTCCGCAAAGACAACTTTTTTTTAGTGTCCGAAATCGGCCTGCAGGCCAAGATATTTCCCAAATCCTTGTTTACTTTGTATCCCCAGGGAGTTCACAATTTTGGCTTTCAGACATTTCGGGGTATTAGCACCGAAGAAGACTGAACTTTTGGCCATATTAATCATCTGCCCGGAGCCCCGAGCATACGTCTGTAGAACTGCCACTATGCTCTCCGCCTCCTTCACAGAAGCGTTTCCAAAAACCACAAAGTCATCCGCGAAAAGGAGATGCGTTATCGGTACACCATTAGAAGATACCTTGAAACCGTGGAGGGCACCCCTTTCCAGGCTTCTCCTGATTAACATTGAGAAACCTTCAGTACAGAGGAGGAACAGGAAAGGGGATAGGGGATCGCCTTGTCTGAGCCCCCGATTCGGCCGGAAGAAACCCGTTGGGGACCCGTTTATGAGGACACTAAATGATACGGTAGAAATGCATTCCTTAATCCAGCTGCAGAAGATAGGCGCGAAACCCAGGCTAGCCATCATTCCCAAGAGGAAATCCCATTCAACCCGATCGTATGCCTTGGCCATATCAAGTTTGATAGCCATCCCAGGTTGGTCTCCTTTATTCTGGTGGATTAAGGAGTGAAGGACTTCGTGCACCACAAGGATGTTATCTTGGATTTGCTTCCCAGCCACGAAGGCAGATTGGTTCTCCCCAATCACTTTCGGCATCACCTTCTTAAGCCTATTAGTGAGAACCTTGGCAATAATCTTGTAGATGACGTTACATAAAGCAATAGGCCTATATTGCGTCATATTTTTTGGGCACTTCACCTTCGGAATAAGCACAACATTGGTGTGGTTGAGTTTACGCAGCAGGGAACCCGAGTGCCAAAATGCTTTAACAATCTTGACTACGTCCGACCCGACCGTGTCCCAGTGATCTTGGTAAAAACAGCCAGAGAAACCATCAGGACCCGGAGATCTAGTAGGAGGGATTTGAAAAGCAGCCTCCAAGATTTCACATTCGGAGACCATAGCAGTTAAACCTCGGTTGTCCTCTAGGGAGAGCCGACCCTCCATGCAACTCTGAACTTCCGCCACCAGATTAGGCTGACAGGATTGAAAAAGTTCAGTAAAATAATCAATAGCCGTATTACCAATACCTTCAGAGCTTTCCTGCCAGATCCCTCGGGCGTCCTCTATTCCTCGGATCGTATTAAACCGGCGCCTTTTTAGCGTTTGAGCATGGAAAAATTTGGTGTTCTTATCACCCTCGCGTAGCCATTGATTCCTGGATTTAACTTTCCAGTAAGCCTCCTCCTTCTGATGAGCAGCAATGAGCTCCCTTTTTTTTTTTTAACATCCTTTGAGGCAAACTCATTAGTTTCGTAGGCCGCCCTTATCTCTTATTTCAGATGCTGAATCAGTTTCAACGAGTTCCTTCCTCTTCCTTTGTACCAGGCTTTTAAACTTCTTCTAAGATATTTCAGTTTTTCACAAAAACGGTACGCATGTGAGCCATAAATCTGAACTCTCCAATCTTTACCAACCAAATTACGACACTCTTCCGACTTGCTCCAACGCCCATCGAATGAAAATTGCTTTCCCTTCCAATTCGGACCTTTATCAGTCGAGAGAATCAAAAGGGCGTGATCCGATCCTTCCAATATCACATGCTTGATTATTGTGTTGGGGTACATTTCATACCAGCCTAAGGTCGCCAACCCACGGTCAAGGCGTTGCTGAATAGGCAGGGACTCTCTTTTATTTCTCCAGGTAAAGGGGTAACCTTCATAGCCCAGATCCATGAGTTCATCACGAGCCACAAAATCTCTAAAGTCACGTAGACTAGCAGCCGGTCTGTAATTCCCTCCCTCATTCTCTTCGTTACAAAGAATATCATTGAAATCTCCTAGGAGGAGGCAGCGGTCCCGATCTTGTCCAATACGCTTAGAAACTTCTTGCCATTGCTCCCTTCTCTTCTTATCATCCGTACTAGCATAAATAGCGAATAACCTCCAGTTACAGTTCATCTTCTCATCCCACAATTTGAGTTCCACCAAAAAGTCCTCCGATTTCATTAACACCACAGAGGTCGCATCTCTCCAGAAAACACATAAGCCACCTCCAATGCCGCGAGGCTCAACAGCGAACCAGTGTTCCATACCCAGTCTCGTTTTCAGATGGGCAAAACTCCTACTTTTATTCTTAGTTTCCAGCAGAATAACCATGTCAGGGGTGTGAAGCCGGTTCTGCTCCAGCAGGTTGTCAACTGTCAGGTCACCCTTGATACCCTGACAGTTCCACGTGATTATCTTCATGGATGTGTGGGGGACCCCTTACGGCTGGTCTCCTCCGCCTCTTTAAAGAAACACCCATTCCTCGGTCTGGTAGCTAGTGGCTCCTCTGTAGTAGTAGTCGATGAGAGCTCCATTTCCTGAATGTTTCGTTTTCTCCCTTTCTATTCCATAGTTATTGCCTGAATGATAGGACCCAGTTGAAATGGGTCATCCTCCGTACTAATTCCATTCACACCAGCACCGTCTACACTCACCAGCCTACCCGCCTCCTCTCCGTTGTCTAGAATTCCATCACCAATTCCCTCCATAATGAGTGGATCACTATTTAAGTCAAAACTCTGCCCTGTTGCAGTTGACACCCCGGTCAAGTTCCCATAAATCTCCTGTTCAAGGATCTCATGAAGAATAACGTTTTCCGCACCTTCCGCAATCACTCCTCCTGGTCCAATTAGTCTTGCATCGAAAGCTAATTCTCTAGCCTTTCTTGCATCCTCTTTCTCCTAACGTTGGTGACGAATTTTGTCAGCTAGGTTAAGTCTCTCTTTATTCAGTCTGCTTGAAGACCAGCGGGGTTTGTTTGGTGATATGGCAGTATCAGCCTCTTCCGCGAGAATCGTGTCCGTATAGTCACTCCCACTGAACGATCTCGAGGCCCCCAGTTGTGTGTGACTTCCCATACCCGAGGCTGTGGATGATCGGCCCGATCGTTTTCCTCCATCTTGTTCCTCACTACGATCATCTTTCCATTTTCCAGTATC